AGAAAGAGGATGAGTGGAGAGAGGGAATGACTAATGGGGCTGGCTGTCCTACCCCAATCCTATCATCTCCTGGCCACACAACCTTGCATTATATGTCTTTATTTACTTTGTAATTCATAAATGTTTTAGTGAAGGCCTACTCTGTGCCAGGTACCATGCTAGGGCTAAGGATGGAAGACCCATCCCTGCTACCTGCAGACCATATCCTTATGAGGAGATGGGCAGGCAAACAGGTAGTATGAGTGCAGTGTGATGATTTTATGATGGGGACACAGAATGGGATCCAGGGGAGGCTTCAAGTGGGTTGGTTACCTCCCCTGAGGAATGTCAGGCAGAAAATGCTTTCTGGAGGACCCGGGAGATTAGCAGATACCTGAAGGGTGAGGAGGGAGGTCTCTAGGCAAACCTGGTTGGCTGAGGGGGAAGAACATTCCAGGCTTGGTAGTCTGGATTAAGCAAAAGAAATTAAAAATAGTTGTTCTGGTCTCCCTCACCCCCACTGCAGAAAGTCTCCACTTCTAACTCCTAACTTCAAAGGCCATGATAAAATTCTCCCCAAACTCTTAATGCAAAACAATAATTTAATTTACTCTAATTTGCTATATAATGTTATGGGGAGATCGTTGGCGGCCCTCAGCTATTATTTTCTGAGACACTAAAGGCAGGTACTTAAGAATAGTCACTTTCACAGATGCATAAATAATATGTAGACTCAAAAAAAGTTGAAGAATGACAAGGGGGCCAAAGAAAAAAATTGTCTCCTTGTGGAAATAGAATTCGGTAACTTCCATCAGGGCCTTCTGGGTATGTTTTTGGCACCTTTTTTGGGCCTTCAAGTGTTTAAGCACACTGCTTTTAATCTTTCCCATTTAATTAGATTGTCTCTGCCATTCCTGGATCTAATTTATTTGAGAGAAAAAAAAAGGACTGTAGGGAAGCAATAAGGTAGAAGTAAAATGAAACAGAGGAGGGTACTGGTGACAGCTGAAGAGGAACTGCATCCAGTTGCACCGACTTTCTGTGACTGTTTTCTCATTCTGACACCTAGTTCCAGGGACTGTTCTGAGATTTACTCTTCCTGTAAAATTCTAAAAGGCAGGGACTGTTTCTTGGTTAGCACAATGCCTAGTATATAGTTGGCACTCAGTAAATGTTAGTTTAATTTCTTCTTTTCTCTGTTCATTTCTTCCTCCTCTGCTTCCCTTCTTGAAGGGAGTCAGTTTGGTAGACTAGCTAGAACTCTTGGTTTCAAGCAATAGCAACTCACATTGGGTCACTTACAAAAAGGGACTACTGTATAGTATAAGGCTAGTAGGGTAGCTTATGCAATTTCAGAGGAGCTGATTTTCAGATGCCAGCTGGAACTGGGCCTGGAATGAACTGGGACTTTTTCTTTACCTCTGACAATTCCTATTCCCAGAAATGGTATTCATCAGCCCAGTTTGGGTTCTATCAATTACAGCCAAAGGAGCAAGGTTGCAGTTCAGAAACTTCCTTGCCTGTAGCCAATGATTATATGAATGGAAGGAGGCCCTTTCTAGAATTTGGAATGGTTGTCAGACAGCTGGATAGGTGTCTGTGAGGTGTGTGCACGATGCTCTTACTGGGGCAACTTGGGTCTATAATTCTTGGACCATTGGCTGTTGGGAGAATTCCAAATAGTAGGTAGCTTCCTACCTGAGAATGGTTGAAATGCATTAGTGAGATGCTGAGGAGCTGTCTTCTCTCTCGTATGAAAAACAAAAAGATATTTTCTTAGAAACTACACTTTTTGATACATTCTATATATGTTGTCTTATATTTTTTAGAACTTTAAAAGTGAAAAACCAATGAGCAACAAGAACTTGCCACTAATATCCTTTCTCTTGTATAGAAACATGAGTGGAATCCACCATCAGATTCACAGAGCGAATCAAAAGACTTGATATTAGCACTAGATTCAGAGGAACATCCTGCCAGATTCTTTTTTGTATTGTGTCATTTAGAGTTGTTATATTTGAAGGACGTTATTTGATCCTATGAACTGATATAGGTAATGAGTTCAGCTCTTCCTCTACTTTCTTGCAGTGAAGACAGGATCACACATTACTTCTTGGAAGAAATTAATCTTAACCCAATTAGTCTTAGCTATTGACTGGATCAAACAATTATTAGGGACCTTCTTCCCTCCCTGTTTCCCTTCTTTGTTAGAATGTACTCTTAGTTCTTCCATGTTAGAATCCATTCCAGTAGTTAAAAAAGATCAATTTCTCTCCAAACCCAAATTTTAAAGTAAATATATTAAAACTAGAAGTTACCCAAACCCTGACAGATGTAAAGTATACTTACTATAATTTTAGGAGTCAATAAGCATTTTATGTAAAGGGCCAGATAGTAAATATTTTTGGCTTTGCGGGCCATATGGTCCCAGGCACAGCAACTCAACAATGGCTTTGTAGTGTGAAAGCGGCCAGAGAGAATATGGAAATAAATGAGCATAGCTATGTTCCAATGAAACTTTCCTTGTGGATACCAAAATTCAAGTTTCATGTAGTTTTAATGTGTCATGGAATATTATTCTTCTTTTGATTGTTTACAATCACTTAAAAATATAAAAGCTGTTTTTAGTTTGCAGATGCCACAAAAACAGGTGATGGGCCAGATTTCAGCTGCAGACATTAATTTGTCAAATCCTGCTCCAACTACCAAAGCAGATGATTGACACTTCTGCTTGTCTGTCTTGGTTTAGTTTTCTTACTTTCTAGGCTTTATTGAGTGAGCATTTCTGAAAGAGCAAACAAAAGCAGTGCTTCTTTTGATCTCAGTCTTGAACTCATTCTTTCTTGACTTATGTAATGGTAGCATTCAACTTCACTTGGTTTGGTGTGAGAACCCAAAGACTGAAAAGGCTGCTTTAAGAGTTTGCACTTGAAGCAGTGCATTTTAGTGGTTCTGTAGGTGTACAATCTCTAAAACCAGGGAGAGAGATAATGATTCTGGGGAGAAGCAGTTTAAAAACAGTTCTAATTATTCAGGCAAGTTATTTTTACCAGACTTTAGGGGACAGAGAAATGATTGCATTTTTATTATTTTTATAGGTTATATTTCAAAAAGCTTTTTCTGTTAAGATGATTAAATACTAAGTTTTAATTTCACTCACTTACGCAAGGGAAAATTCCATTTCAATAGACTTTTTCTTTCTTTCTTTTTTTTCTTTTTTAGATAATTTACTACAGGAGACTTAGGGCTCTCAGCTGAGGACTTATTTTGGCACCAAAAAAAGACATGTTGTTCACTTAGAAGCTTGGTAAGATGAGAGAAATACAGGGAAAGGGGAACTATACGAAACCTTTGGTGGTTACTATATTAAAAAATACATAATATTAAGGTCAGGCATGTGTCTCATTCTTGTAATCCCAACATTTTGGGAGATGGAGGCAAAGGATAACTTGAGCTCAGGAGTTCAAGACAAGCCTAGGCAACATAGTGAGACCTTGCCTCTACAAAATTTTTTTTTTTTTTTTTTTAAGCAGCCGGGTGTGGTGGCATGTATCTATAGAGCCTGCTACTTTGGAGGCTGTGGTGGGAGGATCACTTAAGCCCAGGAGGTCGAAGCCAGTGCGCCATGATTGCACCACTGCACTCCAGCCTGGGCAGCAGAGTGAGACACTGTCTCAAAAACAAACAAAAAACCAAGCCCACATTATATTACATGTAGTATATATAAAATGTTACATATAAAAATTCTCTTCACCTGTAAAATTAATGGTGGCAACAATAACTAAAATACATTATTGTCACAGAGAAGAATTTTCCATGGAGTCTACGTAATAAAATCTGGGAGTCAGCTAGTGATTGCAATAATTGGATGCGTATTGTGTGCCTAGGTTTTATGCCCTTACTCCTACTTAATCCTCATTGTCAGAGAAGGAAAGTAAGATTCAGGGAAGTCAGATGGCCATGTAGCTGGTAAGTGATGGAGCCAGCTTTCAGACCCAGGTCTATCTGTGAGCAGAGCCCTTTTCATGCCTCCATGTTGTAACAGGTTCCAGGCGTGGGTATTACAGTCTCAGGGACTACATGATGATTTTGAAACACCCCTGAGTGCATGCTGAAATATGCCATTCTATGTGGCATGAGGTTCATGACACTGTTGGTTGCCTTTATGATTAATTAATCTTGCTACAGCCTAACCAGACCATGTGAATATGGTTCGAGGTCTTCCCTGAGAGAATTTACAACTGAAGTGACAACTACACTCTGACACAATTCCATTTCTTTAAAAATACATGGTGAATTGAAAAAGATTAAATTCTGGGGACATACATTAACCTAGGTTCCAGTAAGCTTGGGAGTTTTAATGGGCCCCCTGAAGTTGTATGTGGAATAGGGTACAAGTGTGTCTGTGTGTCTTTTTTGGGACAAGGTTTCTAATCTTCATTAGATTCTGAAGATACGTGGAGCCATTACCCTCTAAACTCAACTGGAATCAATTAGGAATATACCTGGATGATTCTTATTATTGGCAAATGTTTGTTAAGTGTGTCAAATTTCATCACAAAAATGAGGCTAAATTAATTGTAGTCTCACAATAGCTTGAGCACAGAACCCTCATTCCACATTGTTATACCGTGGACTCCTCTGTGGGACTCAGCTCTGGTCTCTTTTCCCGTGGGCATCCGCAGCCCCTAACAGCACTGCAACTGTAAATCCTCAATAATTGCTTGCTGATCGGTGGGAATAGTTTTCCTAGTATAAGCCTTGCCTAACTCCGTCATTTCAGGCACTGGAAAGGCCAATGCCTAACGTGGCATCGTCATAAAGTGAAACTTCTGCCTCCTAAGACCGCCGCTTCCTTGTGTAGCACTTTCCTCAAGCCCCACCCAGCCTCAGTTTCCTCTCCTGTAATAAGAGCGTCAACTATGGGATTGGTAGATATCTTCCACATCAGCAAATTCCAGGAGTCTATCACATTGGGCAAACCCAAATTGGAAAGGTCAGGACAAGCTATTTGGAATGGATGGTAAGGGGCGAGTTCTAATTCGATTCTACATTTCACATCAGAGAGCCTCGGGTGACTTTGACAATTACCTTCCTGGGAGGGACAGTGGAGAAGGAACACTATCGGGGCTCCAGGTTAGTGCTGGGGACAGTGGCTGGGAGGAAGTGGGCGTGGCGATTTTTCCCGACTTCCTTGTTTGGAGTAAACTTTGGCAACATCTGATGGCTAAGGGGTTTGCTTTTCCATCTGTTGATGTGCTTTCTGGAAGCTCCCCGGTCTGCCAGAGAAAACATATCCAGAAGACGCACGACGCCAATCCAGCCATTCCCTTGGGTCCCCAAATCCCCCCAGCCACCAGAGACGGAAGGAGAAGCTGAAGTGGAAAACAGACGTGCCCGGGGCGCGCGGACCCCGCGGCTGGCAGAAAGTAGCGTGGCCAGGCAGGGATCTCCGCGCCCACCCGTCAGCCCCGTCCACGCGCTCGAGCGCGCGTCCCCCCTTCCTGACACTCCTCTTGCCGCCTCTGGAGCTTGGAGATGGGGCAGTCGCGACGGCTCCTGCCTCCGCCGAGCTCCTAGCCCTTTAGCTGTTGACGTTGGGTCCCCGCGCTTGTCTCCAGGCACTCAGCTGCCAGCGCGCGGCGGGGCTGAGGGTGACAGCGCGGCGCGGCCGGAGCAGGATTCGCCGCCGAGCCCCGGGCTGCTCACTCAGCCGTGGTGGAGGAGGGGACCACGGACGCCGCTGGTTGAGCTGCGAGGTCCCTGCCCGGCCGGCCGAGCCATGACGGACGCCAGCAACAGGAAGGAGGGCTTCAAAAAATGCCGGAGCGCCACTTTCAGCATCGATGGCTACAGCTTCACCATCGGTGAGAACTTTCCACCCCTCTCTGACTCCTGGCTCGGGCAAACGCCCTCTCCGGTGGCGGCCAGAGTTCCTTTCTAAGCGGGCAGGGGGAGCTCAGGGGTTGGGCTGGGGCCTGAGGGTGCTCGCCGGGCGGGAGTCCCCGGGAGCGGCGACCGGGTCGGGACAGAAACCGCACCCTGGGCTGTCTGCCCCGCACTCCTCGCGGGCTCCGACCTGGCGTCGCGCGGAAGCTGGTTTTCCGCATCACACCTCCCCGAACCGCTCGGTTTCCTGGCTGATTTTAATAACGCAGGCCGGGGGACAGGAGGGGTGGAAATAGGGCTGGAGACGCTGCGATGGAGAGATGAAGATAGGAGTGCTGAGAGAGGGAGACAGAAGGCGACAGGGAGATGTGGACATGATAGAGACACACAGAGCGGTAGGAACATCCAGACACGGGGACGCTGATAGAAACACCTAGACCCCAGAGATAGAGACGGACGTCGAGACAGACTAGTAGAGTGACAGGGATGTGGAGACAGCGACTGAAACAAGAGAGGAGAGGCTGAGAGAGGCAGAGACCGGGGAATTCAGAGAGAGAGAGAGAGAGAGAGAGAGAGAGAGAGAGAGATTGAACAATAGTTTCTATAAAAGTTGAAACAAAGGAAAAGGGACACATGAAGAGAGAGAAGAGAACAGAGTGATTCAGAAAAATAAAGCAGAAAAAGAGGCTAATTCAGTCTTCGAGAGAGAGGCCGCAGGGAGGGGGGATCATATGTCATGCTACCGAAAGTATTGGAGAAAGAGTTGTGATGTCTCTGAGCTGCAGGTAGTATTTTCCTCTCCTGCGCCTGGGACTCCCAGTGGCTCCTGTTTTCTTTCCCCCAAAACCCTTCACCAGGAGGGGGACCACAGGAGCTTGTGGGGACCCTCAGGGAGCAGCAGGGCCACAGGGTTGACCCTCTGGAAGCCTAGCATTTGAAGAGGTGGGTCCTTGATACTGCTACCTTCCGCCCCATGCTGTGGCTGTTTTGAAATAACTTGTCAGGGTTTGCCTCCACATCTTCCTTGGAGGTGAGTAGAACTCAAGTCCCAGGTAGAGCCCTGGAGGTCTGCTCCTTGGGACTTCAGCCTCTGGAGAACAGCAGGACAGAGGCAGGAGCCACTCTGATTCCTACTTTTGGAAGTACTCAAGTTACTGTGGTCTTAATCTGAACTGAACCCCAAAGCCTTTGAAAATGAGGGGGTAGATTATTTTGCTTTCTGTGGGCTGTGTCTGCTTGGAAAGTACCAGGGCCAAGAAGAGACCAAGGAACGCAGCTCATCTGAGGGCCACTTTTGTTCTTAATGAAGTAACCCAAGGTTTCTGGGGAACGGACTGAACACTTGCCCTTCTCCAAACGTACCAAATCCCACCCCTCTGAGCCTTTGCCTAGGCTGTTCCTGCAGGCAGGAATGCCATTCCCCTGGCACAGCATTGAGAAATCTTGTCTATGCTTCAGATCCCAGCTCTCACTTTCCACCTCTTCCACTGTCCATCCCCATCAGAAAGAATTTCTTCCTTGGCACCCCCTCCAGTCTCGGAGTTCTCTGTTGGAGCTCACACCCTGCCTTGAATCAGTTATTTAGGCACCTGTTGGTAGTCCTCATTGCATTAAAAATTCCTTAAGGGTGAGACTGCTTATGTATATTTCTCTCTCAAATGGTGTTAGTGGGTGCTAAGGGAGTGTTTGTAGAAAAGAATTAAAGGTTGCTAAAGTCAAAAGTGTTTCGTTAATAGATCATTGTCATGTTAAATTGGTTTTCTTGACTCTGGTAAGAAAATTCTCAAAAGTTATACCAGGTTGTCTTTATGAGATCTTGTCCTCCAAAGTGTGGCTTTCTCAAATCCAGGATCATAGTGTGGTCCTCCTCCTCCTGACATTTTCCCTTTCTGTTAGAAGAGATGGTCTAGCAGATTGGTATGGTCTGGTGGTCAGTAGAGACTCTAAAATAATGAGCTGGTCGCTTCCAAGTGCGATAGCTGCCAACTTATTTCAGACTGCTGAGAATTTATTCATTCACTTCTTTCTGCTTATTCTTCTTCCCTCCCCCTTTCCACATTTATTCAATTTTACTATATTAAGAGATACAATTTAGCGCAATGCCTGCCACACGGCAAACATTCAGTAAATGGTAATTGTAATTATTCAAGGCACTAAGCTAATATCATGGAGAGTTGATGAAGATAAATCAGACTTAGAATCTGTGTTCAAGGAATTTGTATTCTCGGGGCGATGTGATATGTTCATATATAACCATTTTAAAAAGCAGAAATTAGTAAGTTGCTAGAGAGACATTTAAGAAATTTTAGGCCAAGTTTAGAAAATATAATAATAAAAAAGGAAGAAAGAAAATCAAGTGTCATTTTATCATCCAATGCTAAATATTAATAATTCTTGTATATACTTCTAATATGTACATTGTTTTTACAAAGTGAAATCATAATTTTTGAAAAATGTGTTATTAAAAATACCTTATTAGTTTTGTTTCATGCTATATATAAAGTATTTTAAAAATCGACTTCCTAATGTTGGCTACTTAGGTTACTTTTAATTTTCACCATAATAAACAGTGATAAAAAACTAAATCTATGAGTATATCCATGAGTACTTTTTTTGAGACAGAGTCTCTCTCTGTTGCCCAGGCTGGAGTGCAATGGCGTGATCTCAGCTCACTGCAAGCTCCACCTCCCGGGTTCACACCATTCTCCTGCCTCAGCCTCCCAAGTAGCTGGGACTACAGGCGCCCGACACCACACTAAACTAATTTTTTTTGTATTTTTAGTGGAGACAGGATTTCACTGTGTTAGCCAGGATGGTCTTGATCTCCTGACCTCATGATCCACCCACCTCGGCCTCCCAAAGTGCTGGGATTACAGGCATGAGCCATTGTGCCCAGCCCATGAGTACTTTTTAAAGATAACGTTCTAGAAGCTTAATTGCTTAGTCCAAGAGTATGAACATTTTTAGGAACTTTAAAACATATTGCTCAACTGCCTTCTGAAAAGATTTACCAGCTTCTACTCCCATCAGCAATGTTTTGACAACTCTGAAAGGTAGCTGTTATGACCCCTGTTTTAGGAGAAGAAACTCCCAAGACTCTAGAGGAAATAATTTGCCAGAAGACATCCAGCTAGGAGGTGGCAGAGTTGGGTTCAAACCACATCTGCCCTGACTCCTCAGCCTGGGGTTTGTCCCATACATCATGTGGCCTCCCACGGTGGACTTTATTTCTGCTGGACCCTCGGGACTAGCCCATCATCCTGCAGAAGAGAGATCTGGGAGTGTGTTAGCTCTGCTTAACCAGCCAAGGCTGGAGCAAAACCAGAAAGAGATGGGACCATTGCTGCAGGTGGGACAGGGTGGGGTTGCTGCTCCCTGGAGGAAGATCAGGTAGAAGAAACAAGGTTAGTTAATCTACCTCACTAGACTACCTTAGTCCCATGCTTCCCTGTCCCGGGGCAAATGATTTTGCATCCTCTTTATGTAATTTTCTCAGGTCATGAAATGGGTATGTGGTCAAGAGGTCTGGGAAACAAGACTATGAGATTGAACATGTGCCACATTCAAGCAGTGACTTTCAAAGCACCTTGATGCTTTGAGAGTTCCATCCCTGTGAAACCATTGAACTTATGATGATTGCAGCAAGTGATTATTCTGATGAGCATAATTGAAGGCCATATGTAGAAGTGCAAGTGTTAATTGACTCTGGTGTGGTAGTACTTGTGAAGGAGCATTTGCATATGAAGTGAATGATTGGGGTGCGTAGGTGCAGTACCTTGTATTTCAGAAGAACTTTCCTTCTGGAGTTTGGATGTCTATTTGGGTTTGTATTAAGTCATTCACAGATTCTTGCTCTCTCCAGAAGGCTGCCTGAAATACAAACAAACACCTCCCCCTCAAAATGATGTATGTCTGCCAAAAACAAAAGCACATTTTTTCTTTTAAATCACCTGAGTGGGCCCCACTTGATCTCTTTTGATGCTCCTCCGTGTTCATTTTACAGATGAGAAAATGGGACTGAGGGAGGGCCCATCACTTTCCTCCTGCCCTCGGTGATGACCTGCAGGGTGTCAGAAGGGGGTGGGTGAAACCAGAGGCTCAGAGGGATGTGAAGTTGGCGGAGTGAATGTCAAAGAAGCTGCTTCCTTCAAAAATGAACCTATTGGTGTTGTGGAAAATTCTAGGCCTGTACTGAAGAGGTGTTGCTAACAGAGATGTGTTTCCTGTAGCAACGGCCACTGGCTTTTCTGCCTTGTGTTTCTCTCCTTGGGTTGTCCCAGAGGAGGAAAAACAAGAAGCCCCTGGACAGCAATCGGAGGCTCAAGGGGCTGGGAGTTGGAGGTTCCCTGACTTACCCTTGGACAGCAGGGGATGGAGGCCAAACTGAAGGGAGGAGGTTTGCTAATGGATGCTCCTCTCAGAGGGGATCTGGGCAGGCAGGGCTCTGTGGGTGGCCAAGGCCTGAATGAATTGGCTGCGTACACTGGGAGTGTGGCCCACTCTCCAGCTGAGGCAGAGGCCCCTGGCCTCCTCTGGGGCATATGGTTGAGGACTTTCTGAGCCCAGACTAGTCTCTGTGCTCTCTCAGCTGAGTGTCTTGACTGCCTTCCGTCTGCGTGCTTAAACAAACAGGCAGTCTGGGTGGAAACAAGATTTTACACCTGGTTGGGAGTGATCGCGGGGAGCAAAGAACCCAGTAAGGATTCCAGGTAAAACATTCTATGGCCACCTCCCAGTGCTCATGGACCTACTTCTCTCCCTCACTTGTATCTCAGAGTCAGAGTCAGGCACAGCAGGGTGTGGGAAGAGGAGTCTGCAAATGGAGGCTTGTGGTCTCTGCTCTGCCATTCATCCTCTTCCATTCTGCACCATGGGCAAATCACATTATCTCTGAGCCTCAGTTTCCTCACATGTAAAATGGGGAGTAAGATCCTTAAGTTTTGGCAGTATGGTGAGGATCGAGTGAAGGTTTGCATGA